AAACTTGTGCATGTATCAGGTGTGCTTAATGGATGCGGGTGAACTAGACTGTTCCTATATTCATGCAAAGGGGTCGCCAGCACTAGCGGTTTAGGAGTGTTAGCATCCCTACCAGCTGTTTTTCCAACGCTGACAGGGACGCAGGGGATAAAAAATGATTAGGACTTTGTGAAGATCATGGTTTATTATTCCACCTATTGTTAGGTACTAGTTGTGCCCTTTTAAGGGTTTCGTGTATACTGCTTTGTGGGTTAGTTCCCAGCAGACTTGTACCATATATCCGATCAAAATTTATTTGTGTGCCATACTGTGAATGCCCTGAGTTGTTGGTGGTCGAGTTCTGACTATTGTCACTCGTACTCTTGAGGGTGGCATTGTTTTGGCGTTGGTTATCAGTGTGGGCCATGGTGCTATTTCGCACGTTGTGGGTGCCAATACTATTGACCGCGGGGAATGTGGGCTTACTTATACTGCCATTGTTGTTGTTGGCATGATTTGGGGTCATATTCTTCTTTTTTTTCCAATGGACTTATGGCTAGGAGAGGACAGGGTCGACTTTCGGGGGATTTTGACTTTTTTTCTTGGATTATTTAGTGACATGTCTATATCTACAGTGATAGGTGGTATGGTTTTATTGGCTATTTGGTTACAATCTTGTGGCTTTTCGGTTGGTGTCGCTCTCTGAGAAGATAATTCTGTGTGGTTAGAGAGGGGTGGTGCGGTGGATTCTACGGTATCTCTTAAAGGGTTGGGTGTAATTGCTGCTTGCAATGTCCTATTGTTTATTCCACAGTTAGACTCAGTGTGATAATTATATACGCGCCTTTCTATGATGGTCTTGTCCACCGCAACCTTTACTAGTTTATAATTTCTGGCTTGCGATAGGGTGTGTTGGGAGTGGATAAATTTTCTGGCCTCAGCCGGTGTTTCGAACTGAAAACGAATAGGACAACACTTTTCATGTTGACTCTTCTTCAGCCTGTAGCACTTAGTCTTGGAGTTGGGCATTTTCGCCTCACTAAGTAAGATGCGCTGTACCTTTTTAGTGGCTCATTGTCCGGAACGTTGTAGACGATAGCATTTAGTTTAGCATCGAGTCGTTTTGTTACTTCTGTAGTAACAAAGTTAATGAGGTTATCCACCTTAGATACCGATTCCGTGTCAAGTTTGTTAAGGTCTACAGTTCTCATGAGGATAGTTAAAGGTGTCAGTTCACAGACCTGCAATCTGATATCACTAATCTGATCTGATAATTTGGATATTTTGGTATTGGTTTCAGAAATTCCAGGATTTACTGACTTGTTTTTTATTTCCCTTAACTCGGCCTTAAGTTTTCCTATAGACAACTTTAGAAGTTCTATTTCAGAAGATAGTACTGAAACAGAGCTTGAAGGCTGGAGTTTTTCGATAAGCACATAAGGTGTAGGGAGGGTTTCTGTATGAGCAGAGGGTACTGAATTTTTGGGAGTAGTGCTAATACTAGTTGTCAGTAAAGTTTTATCCTCTGATTCAGCTCGACGCTTACGACATACAAGTGAGTTATGTGGCTCACTATAACCATTTGTAGGGAGTGTGTTGCTTGATGTAGAAATCAACGACTTAAAATTAGTCATCAGTTTTACAGGGGATTGAGTTCGCTGCTTTTTACTTTGGTTAACCATAACTATTTGAAATGAGAGTTAATAGTTATAGGTATGGAAGTAGTAGAGTACTTGTGCAAGGACTACAACAAGATAAATTTTATGTAACGAATCACGCAAAAATGTAACGCAAACATTGGACGTACCGCTACGCAGAGCAAACCGTAGTTCCGGGTTAGGCAGATCAAATGAAGATAATCAAACTATGGTAATTACTAGAAGATACGCTCCCAGCAGAATTTTTGAAGTCAGATTCCATGTTTGGCAAATAAGGAGCTACAATGGAAAGAAAATTGAATTAAGTATTGCGTAAGAGTAAAAAAATCCAGAAAAACAAATAAAATACAGAAATATATGCACTTTCTGAAGTAAATATTTCTTCGCTCAAACTTTTTGCTTTCTGGATATCTGAGTGGGGATTTTTTCTCTATAGAAATATATGTATTATAGTCATAATAATATAGAAGGTGAATGAAACAGGATAGCCAATTTCGAGACAGACGTTTATTGTTATTCAGATAGCTTACCGATAGATCCCATTATTGTACAAGACTGTTGGTGTTTTTAAAGCCTCTTTGAAAGCATGGTGGAGGATAAGTCTAGCGGGAAACCCAGTTCAACACATGGAAAGAGCGCATATCATTCAATAGATCAAGGGAGTCTCATAGGTCATATAGAGGATACACTTCCTAATTCGTTCGGGGCCCATAGGGTAACAGTGACCCATCTACTAATTCACATGTCACATGCAAACCATGTTATCATATTTATTTTTATTCCCTTGGGTTCCAAGAGGAACATAGGGCTTCTAACAGGCTACCTACGCTTTGTTCTATACTCTGCTGTCCTCTACACCCGGCTGCTGATTACCCGTAACCCCTCATCTCCCCCCACCCAACGATCTCCTTCAAGTCTCCCTCGAACCGACAAACCACTCATCGCTTCTCATCTGGATTCCACTCAAGTCATGGTCTGCATAGCGCGCAACGCCATTCAACGGCCTCTTCAACCTATACCCAATCCATCTATCTCCATTTCTCCTACATATTTGTTGAACAATCGGCTCATGCCTGTTCGTTTGTTCCAGTGTAGATTTTCTTGCCTTTAGTACTTTCTGGCCAGCTGCCTAGGGAGGCAGCTGTTGATAAAAGTCTGCAACCTCTTTAAAACCCCAATCGTGACACTCTGGCCAAGTTTCTGGCCCACACAGAAAAACTGACCGACCTCACGTTTGTGCCAAAACGTGAATCTTGCTGTTTATGCAATGGATTGCAGAAGATTTCCAAACTGGTTTCAGGTTGATGAAGGTGTATCTCGCCTTTCTGATTCTGACTGGCTATGACACCTTCACCCGTTCTGACTGCCTGTGGTCGAAACGATGAAGGAAGTAGCCTCATTCAAACCTCTCCCATTGATGGTGATTGGTTCTGGTTGATGTTGCTGTTAGTTGCTTATCATGATCACCTCCATCTTCTATATGTTCACCTGTAGTCTTGTTTTTGATGCCAGCCTCTTCTGCCAGCTTTTTGGTTTTTGCCTGCAAGCCTTTCAGTCTGTGTTACATTAGACATGAATCGGCTGTGAAGTACAGATCCTCTAGAGTCTTCTTATTGAACAGTGCAGTGTATTCCTGTCTTCTCACTCCCAGTACACAGCCTGGCACATAATCCAGTCCACCACAATTAAGAAAATCGTCGGTGACGGTAGACAGCCCTGTCTTAACCCTGTGTTCACTTCAGCTGAAGGCTTCGCTGAGTTATCTGTTGTGGATTCCCTGACGTGTGGCACTGTCATATGGCGAGGTGTTGAATGATTTTGGCAAAGACTTGGACACTGCACTCTGTAATGTTGGAGGAGTTTTTAAATCAATTCTCGGTCAATGCTGCTGGAGGCCTTTTCGAAGTCTTTGAGGTTAAGGAACATGTTTGACTTCTTCTATTCACAGGTTATATCGAACCACCCAAGGTTGGCTGTATGACAGATTAATAGGTGCGCCTTCTCAAAGTGTAATAAAATCGGAAACTCGAAGTTAGGCCATGCTAAGCAACACTCAAACTCTTAAAGGATCAGGTATCTAAGTCCGTGTCGACCTATGCTTATCAGATCGTACCAAAAGACAGTCTGAGGCTGTAGAGTTAGGTGAATGGGGCTGCATCATCAAGAAGCATCCTATTGTTGAAGGTTTTCAGTGTGTAAAGTTGTGAATTCTGATGATTCTAAAGCCCTTGTGGGTGAGATACAGAAGCACTGAACTAGATAAACAGTTTATTACACAGTCCACAGTCTGTTAGACAAACTGGCTGAGCTGGGTCCTATGGAAGGCTCCGAAAATCAGTGTGTCATTGCTAGAGAAGGTCAGAATTAACTCAGAACTCTTTTCATGGACAGTGATACACAATGGAGAGCTAAAAGCCACCGTACTTGGCCCCCTTATTCATCTTGTACGTCAACGAATTACCTGCATTCACTGAATCACCTATGGTTCTCTAGTAGATAACTTTAAATTTCGGAGACAGCTGAAGGGCAATAATGAGGTGCTCACCTTCCAAGGAGATCTCAGCAAGCGGTTAGACTGATCAAAAGGATAGACGCTGCTAGTAAATGTAGCGAAGTGTAGAGCCAAGTGAACTGGACGCGCAAGTGTCAGGTGATGCGAACCAGAAGGAATGATGCTCCCATCAAATCAGACTCATACGGATTTAGGTGCTATCATGAGTCACGACTTAAAAAATACAGCCCTCTGTCACACGGTGGCAGCCTAAAGTTTTAGACCTCAGGGACAGTCTGCGGAGCGTTTCCTAGAATCAACGGAGATATGTTTACTTCTGTGCACACATATCTGGTATCATCAAGATTGGAAAACTGAATTCAAGCAGCCAGTTCTTGTCATAAAGGCGACTAAAACATGTTAAAAAGAGTTCAGAGGAAGTAAGTAAGTATGGTTCTTGGAATGGCCAGTTTAGCATACAGTGGAAGACCAGATAGTCTGAATCTCTTCTCCTTGTCATACCGTAGTCAGGGATCTCGACACAATGTATAAAATTTTGAACAGTGCCTACGGGCTTGATCTATTTTCCTTCTCGTTCGTTCTAGGCCAAGATATCTTAGTAGGAAAAACAGGAGGTCTCAAAACTAAGGATTGACTATATCTTTGTGGGGTGCTAATTCTCACAAAGTTATTAACTCCTGGAACGGACTTCCAGATGAAGTGGTGTCAGCGGCCTCAACTGAATCATTCGAGAAGGATAAAGACAAGCACAGAAACTTATTAGGGAAGAATTAACCCTGGTTTCAAGCCTTCTTTCCTCAATCAGCCAACACATCTGAATCTTTATTTTATTCAGGCAATACACTTTACCAAACGACCTTGGAAAAATTTCGTTACATACCGCGTTCCACGAACACAGGAAACAGTTAATTATGTCAAATGAGGTATGTCAAACCTTATTATGGATAAAGCACATTCTTGAATCAACCTTAAACGTAAAGAAAGTTTTTCACAATTGCTTTTCTGCTCTTTGATCGCTTTATTATATTTTTTAATTAATTAAAATAAATGCTTTACTTGATATATCTGATATAAACTCACCTAATTATTAGATGAATTGGGAACCGTGATGTTAATCAGTGTATCTTTCATGAAATTTAAACTAATTTAGGATTTTGAGGATCTAATCGGTCTAATAAATCTAATTTGGTGTTAATTAGTGCAATTTAAATAAGCAATTGCTTTAGCAAATGAAGTCTGAAGTTATGTTTACAGACATCTATTGGTTGTCTGTCGTTAATGTCCCATTTTATTTGATGCAACTTGAACATTCAAAAATTGATATTAATCTGAGATTTCAATCAACCTACTTAATACGAGAGCAACTTAAATCTGGTTTCACTATACTCACTGCTGTTTTGAATCTATAACAAGTCCGGTCCGAGCTATGTTTCCTCAATTCTTAGGGGATTTATAAGTTCTTTATAGTTTTTTCAAACAAACGAACATTTTTAACTCCCGAACCAGCGTTAAAAATAATTTTGTGTATTTTCGAATCGCATAAATATCATTTGAAATACAAACACAGAGATTACGTCTGTCTGACACTTAGTAGGTATTTCTAGAGAAAGCAGGGATGCAGTAATAACCTTCATTGTAATTACTACTTACGTGTTTTCAGTAAAAATCAAAGTTTTCGAGTATGCTCTTATAATGTCAAGACTAAATATTAAATTCTAAACGGCAATAAAGTGGTTGAGAGCGGACGCAATGCAACAGGAGATGAAGAAACATGTAACTTTAGGTTTATTTTGATGTTTATAGATATAAAGGCTGGTTAATTTAGCTACAGACCTTTATAACCGAGAAAGAAAGAAGCCAATTTGGTTTAAATTACACTAAGCTGAATAATAGGTTATGTGGAAAGAGTGACAGATACAGTCAGCCCGATGTGAGTTTATTAGGAAAAGCCTAAATCGTTAAAATCGGTTGAAAGGACTGGAAATATAAAAGCTGTTGTATAATAGTTTTCATGAATTGTTTCTTCTCTATTAATTCTCACAACTTCGACATATAAACAATACCCTGAAGACAGATGACTTCATAAAGACATGACAGCCTAAAAGACATAAAATGACTTTTATTCATCGTTATAAATGTTTCATAATCGTCTTAAATTGTTTCCATCAAATAAAAGGGTCAACAAATACTAATTTTTAGTAAAAATGCATAAATATGTATGTTTTGAAAGTTGCACGTACATTCATAAAGCTTCCAACTCTTCAGGGAATTTCTATAAATTTACAGGTTTTTTCAGGGCCGCCTTTTTAATCGACTACATATTATTCCGTTAGAAAATATTTTGTCCAGAATGTGGCGATATAGTTTTGTAATCTCAAGATGTTGGCTGGTATTACTTATTTTGAGAAAAACCTTTTTCTGGGCTTTACAGTAAGATTATTTCGAACTATTTGTGAGACATTAGAAAAGAAATCTTTTTAAAATAACACACGAAATATTTGCATTGAACACAATGTATTGTGAAATCTTGTAGCACAGAAATTAGTCATAGTCAGATTTGATGATTAGGCGTAGATAATAAGAGAAAGTCTACAATGTAAGCTAAATTTCTGCCTTAAGAGGAAGCATTGTAGGTTAGTTGCTTATTCTTAACTAACATAAGGGAAAAAAGACCCTAACTACATAAGAAGGAAAGTGGAAGTCGCCCCTTTTGTGTCAGTTTAACTTCAGATCTATTTCTACGCAAAAAGGACCACAAAATGACCTCTCACTCTAAATCTCAGCAAACATCAATTTAGTGTTTACAGTTTTAATTGTAACTAGTCCCTGTTTTACTCTGAGATTAGTTTGCGTAAGTCAGTATTCTCAACTTCATGTCTGTTTTTTATTGAATGAATAATACAACGGTACAGTATTATTGTTTACTGGATGACGTTTCGGAAACTTTCTGTTATTGTTCATGGTTATATGCACCACCAATTGTAAATAAACAATCTCAAAACTTGATTTTTTCCTAGTTCCCATCCTCCTTCCTCATTTTCTGTAAGCGCATAGTAAAGTTTCCCAAGATGTCAGAGTAAGGGATTAAACCATTCATGTTGCATATATTCTCATTTGAATGGATAAATAAATGAAGCTTTTGTTATCATTCTCTTCAGCTAAGCTGTTATATTAGATTGTAAGACTATAAGTTCGTCTCATCACATTGTATGGTTGCGTGTGTATGGAATTACATGTGGTGACGTGTCTGTTCCTTTTCCTCTCAATTTCATACCTTGACAGTACTTTATAGTTTTTTTTCGCTAAGATTTTATGTTGTGCTGATCTTATTGACCCTAACCCACCACTTTTTCACTTTGGAATTATCATTATTCTTTTGAGTTCCGAGTGGAACTTAGGGCTTCAACAGCATGTTTCCACTTTGTTCTATTCTCTGCAGTCAACTTCATCTGGCCCCACGATTTCACACAAGCTTTTATCTTCTCCTCACATCATCTGATCCACAGCTCCCTCCGACGCTCAGCTCGCCGTTTCTCATTCGGGTCATAGTCCAGTACTGACCTGGTGTCCGATATCACCAGACAGTCTCCTCAGAGTGTGTACGTTCCATCTCGATTTTCTTCATAATATTTGTTGAACAACAGTTTGTTGATTGGTTCGTTCCCATAGTTTCTTGTGTTGCTAATTCTTTCTGGCCAGCCGGTCAGCTGATCTTCAGTGTTGAGCGAAGGCAGATGTTGACAGAAGTTTTCAGCTGGCAGTTGGAAATGCTTTTCGTGATGCACGCGCTTAGTTACTAATCCTTACAATCATTACAAGGTATTAGGTAAACTAAAATATTTTATTCAATGTGCTTCACAGGATCCTTAAATTGACTTAATTTGTTTCTAAATGAGTTTGTGATATTTTCATTATAAATCACATTATAATACGATAAAAGGGGTCCTAGAAATACTACATAATTGTTTCTTCTTAATCAAAGAATCTTCAGTGGTCCTACGTTGCATTCTTGATGAGGTCAGGAGTGTATTGTTCTGAAAGTGGTTTTGTGAGCTGTGAGGAAATAGTTATCTAATGACTTATTTCATAATTTATTTCAATGATTTTCCCAGGCAAAGTTAGTTTGTGACAAAACCTACCTTGAAATTCAAGAGTTAGATTGCATGGATTCTATCGGTTTCAAGTTTGATCGCGGATTGATATCAGGTAGACAACTATTGGAAACCTCTTGGGAGCTATGGTAAGTTGTCTAATCGTAGCTCCAAACTTTTCAGGTGTCCGCACTCATTCCCACATCAGCGATCGAACCTAGGACTTTTAGACTACAGAGTGGACTAGTTTACCATTCAGGGAGTGAGGGAGGACGGAATCCGATTTACAAGCGATGAATTCTAAATTCTTTCAATTTGTGATTTTTAATGCCATCATCAGCCAATTTCTGTGATTATGCACAACTTCTTCTACAGAAGAGAGAGTATTCAAATACACTGTATTGGTTTTTGTGGAGGTCTCTACTGTTGGGCACAGCACGTTGCAGTTGATACCAAAATTTGAAGTGTAAGGAAACTGATAGAACATAACTTTCTATATTTTTGTCATGAATACGAAAGCTAGATTTTGGAACAGAAGACATGATTTTAAACAGTCAGATGTTATATCTCATTAGTCCTGACACAATAATTGGGTCTCATTGCCTAATACTTAAACTTGTAGTGGCAACAGTAAAGCTTCAGACGACCTTGAAACAGCCAATCAGATTCTTCAAGGTGGAAAGTGGTACTTATTTTACAAAGAAGTGTATCTACGATACATATGTAATAAAAATGAATCGTATAGGGTGTATATCTCTAATAGAAGTGGTTATAGACATATCAAAACAATGTGTTATCTATTTCTCCGGCTGCAGCACATACTGGTTGCACATACGCAATATATTACTAGGGAAGAGCTTTGATTTAGAGAAGAAAGTGTCTAAAAAAATCACCAGTTATGCACGACTCATCAACTTATACAGACTTCTTCATACAAAGTGGTTGCATCTGAATGTATAACCATCAGTGGCCCGACAATACTTTTGCAGAGTCATTATCCCTCCACATATGCATGCTTTATTCTTCCCTATCAACACATTTTCCATAAAAAAGTCAGAAACCAAATCTGGGAGGCATTTTCAACGAGGATTATGACTAGCATTAATTTGTAATACTGAGCTACCTGATTGGTCAAGTCAAGGTCATTTGACTTTGGTGTCTATTGTTTACTCAGACAGACGGTTCTACATTAAATTTAGAAGCCTTCATATTGACTTTATAGACAACATTTTCAATGATAACTTCATTGTGAAGTTAATGCTTTTGGTGAAAAGATATAAACATGTACTTGGTTGCCTAGTTACTGTTTATTGTTTACTTTTCCTAAGTGACCTTTTATCGTTGAATGAAACTGTCACGATTATTCGAATGCATATTGCAGTGATTTAGCTTTTCTTAGAATACTATGGCTATTACAACTAAGAAGAACCAATTTACTCCACCAAGGATCTATTAGGCCGACGCATTTTATATAGCAGTTATAATTATTATTCCCTAAAGCCCTGAGAGGAATACAGGGATTCAACAACAGATCTCCATTTCATCCTGTATTTTCCAGTCTTCACTAGCTGGCTCCACGATTACCTGTAAGCTCTCATCTCCTGCTCATGTGGTCTCTTCCACGTCACCTTCGGAACGACGCCCAACTTATCGTTTAGCGTTTGGGTTCAAATTGGGGGCAGCAGCAGCACAGTGTCACTCAACCATCTCTTCATCGTGTGTCCATTATGTTGATTTCCTCTTCTTTCTTCATCTTTGTCGAGTGACAGGTTCCTGGCTGATTCATAGCTTGTCAGAGGTCCTTATCGCCTAACCACCCTATATGGTCATTT